AGTGCCCCGCGTGTTTTCTCTTTGCGGACTATGAGATCGGACAGTGGACTTCAGCGTGACCGTCTAAGATATTAAACTAAGCATGCTATGAATTGGTTAGAATTGTGATGATGCGTGCATTCCGTGTAATACCTCGAGGTTCTTGGCCGGGCCCGGTGGAACCGTTTAGACCTCTGTAGACAGGAGTTTCGGGGATGATCGCGATCCCCTCTGTCATGCCAGGGTTCGAGAATTCCCTACTCTGTTGGTGTGGTTGTTCCTCTTCCTGCTGTTGTTGCTGCTGCTCCTGCTGATTTTTCAAACGCTGCTCTTCCTTCACACCGTTGCACTTTTTTTCCGGGATGCCGTCCCCATCCACGTATGCCCCGCCACCAGTGGCGGCGATCGAGTGATAGTCAGTATCGCATTTTGTTACTCCCTTCTTTTCGCCGTCCGATGTGAACCCGGCCGGTTCTATTCTGCCGCCGTTGCCGTTGAACACCTCACCAGCGGCACGTTCACTCGGGCGCACAGTCTTGCCGCCCCGTTCGTCCTTCAGCAACTGATGGTCGATCCTATCACCTTCCTCCCTTGCAACCGAGATGCCATTTTCTGCCTCTTGGTGGCCTCCTCTGCCCCCCTCTCGCCCGTCGGCGGCGGCGCCACCGCCGTCCCATGACCCCGTGCTGGCAAGCGGCTGCGACGAAAATTGCATCTGTATCTGAGTCCAGGAGTGGTGTGGTGATGTGGTTGGGTTCCCTTCTTCCAGAATTCCTCCGCCTCCGACACATGCAGGGCCGTCGGCAACAACGCCCCCGCCACCAACCCGAACACCTTCGCTTTCTAGACCCAACTTCCCAAGGACCCCAGCGGCCCCACACACTCCCACCCGTTCACCCCCATGGATCCCGGGCGCGTTCAACGCCAGGGTTACTGCAGCCGTTGGCAGGGCCGTTTCAGATGGCCCAGCAGCGCGAGGAGGGCGTGACACGGTAAGGGACCCTGGTCCCCAGCCGGCCCGAGGCCACTCGACTGGTCCCTTTTCTGGCTTGGCTGTAGCAGGGTCGTTATTAGCGGCCGTAGAAGGGTGGGGACGACGGGCTGCTGTCCCCGCCGTCACGGTATGGGAAGAGGCAGCACCACCTTGCGGTTCGGGAAAGGTGTTGTTTGGGACGCAAGCAGTGTGCTTTTCCACGTCGTTGTACGAAAGAGGTACTTCATCAGCGTTAGGGCTCGCAAGGCACCCAACGAACGGCTCGAAAATGGGGAATATCGGCACTGGCTCCCTATGTGAGGACAAAATCTTGTGCGCGATAGAAAACTTTAGGTTTGTGAAAAGGTGTATGTAAGAGTGAGGTTAAACTTCCAAAGCAAATGTGAGAAACAATTCGCGTGAAAACCACGCATGCACTGCGGTATTTTCATCGCGTATCTATTCACCGTTGATTGCCGTCCGCAAGAGGCCAAGCGCAGGCGTTGAAATTCCCCTGGCCGTCGTTGAAACGTGAGAACTGGCGAACCCTCCTCCCTCGTGTTTCAGAGCGTCTTTCCCGCTATGATCTGACGTTGACCCCGAGGGCTGCCTTTGGCTAGACAACGCCCTGACTCCTACTGGCCAGTCTTCCCGTTCGCGGTCTTCCCCGATCGATCGATCGCTGTGTGGGTGGGTAGGCGTAATACGAATAACCCGACCGTTGGAATAATGTCTATCTGTTGCTGTAACCGAATTTTGACCACGGCCCTTATGAAACGAAGCGGCTAGAAAATGGGGCTGCTGTTTACGGTGGATGCTAACACACAATCACATAAAATCGCTTCAAGTGCTCAAATGTTTTTCCGGACGAAGGTTTGGCTAATGTGTGTGGCGTACGAAGACGAAGAGGGTCCTTAATCTGTTCCCCGTTGCTCTTCCCCGGTGGGCGGCGCGATCATGCAGTCGTTTACGGCATGCGAGGGTGGACAGGCTACATCTTGACGGGCATGACGTGTCTCAGCATGGCTTGCAAGATGATTCCGAGCCCACCACGTCCGACTGGGAAACTTCCACAGCATGACACGGCGCGAGACCAAAGTTGTACCATTTAGTATATTGTACGACAGCGTGGCATCGGTGTTCTACACAAGCGGTCCGCATTCAAAACCTGGTATTTTGGCCGAGGATCGTTTCTTCCTGTGCTTATTACCCCGACGGCGACCATATAGATGTTGGTAGAAGCTTCTTGACCGAGCACCTGTTCTCATGGCTAGATTCATTGATTTGTCTTTTTCTTGAGACTGATTTTCTTACATTAACTCCCCAGTTTTAAGTTCGGGCTGTGTTGTACCTGATGTAGTGGTTGGGAGTGGTGTCCCCAATCCCAGCGGTCTCTAAGTACTCGAGGAGGGCTTGCCAATGCTCGGTGTCTGCCCCGCGTAGCTGCATCTCACAGATGGATGGCAGCTCCGTGAATGGAACAATCTGGAAGTTGGTTGCGGGTGACGATCAATTCAGATTTGGGAGAAACGGTGACAATCTATGTTGCGGGGTGATGGATAGAATTAGGCAAGCTGCCTACTTCGTCGGAGCGACATTCCGAACATGGCAAGATTCTTTGGGTTGAAGCCTGCATGGGTCCTACCGTTCACGTCGATCGATATCTTGCCTGCCGATCTCGAACATGGACAAAATCCAGAATCGTACATAATAGTGTCGATCGACCCGCTTAGCAAAATATCACACGAAGTATTTTGGAGTATGCTTGATTCGACGAGACGCCCATAAATACAGCATGGACTACTACAGGGCATGACCCATGTACTGCAATGATAGAGAAGTACGCATGACCACATTCATTCCTGAAAATATGAGCACAACGTGCATCACATCTACATATGTCAGGAAGCGAGACAAGATGGAAAAGGCCACATAGTCTTCACACTGTGAAGCAGACACAGCACCGGAACTCTTAGGTTTCGATCTACGAAGAGGATGCGTAATACCGGCAGCTGAACAATAAATTTGGAGGACGTAGCTCATACAAAAGCCCAACTAGATCAGGTAAAGACTGAGGATATCCAGGATGAAAATACCTTGCCGGTTCGAAAGACGGCGTGGTAGAGGGTTATCCACACGTCCAGGTAGCACGCCTGACCGTCGAAAACGTCCATGAAACGTCGGACCAGTGCTCGTGCCGCGTCGTTCTCCGGAGATGTCAAACGAGGGTCGATGAACTCTGCGGCGCATTCTGCAGGTCGGTGCCACAAAATTTTTCATAGTCCCAATATAAACGAGTGACATGGGGTCATCAAAAGTTTAGCTCCACGGAGGCAACTCTTGAAATCGTTGTCCCTGTGTGTATCAAATGCCACGCGTACATTCGAACAAAAAGTGCTTGCTCTAGCGCAATATCCCGGCAGGGCGCGCCATGGCGTGGTTCGTTGCCCCCCGTACCCATTTGGTCCGAGGAGAAACGAGCAGGGTCGTCTACGATGGGGCGATATTATCTCTGCTCAGGTCAAATGTTTCACCTACTTCTCATTTCAGGTCGTTGGAGCTTGGGGCACCAGATGATACAAGACCCATTTAACAACACACCCTGCAGCAACGCTGCAGGTTGTTCCATGTCTCCGCATGTTCGAACTTTGACAACATGCGATGGATGCAATGACAGACCAAAGAAGCCCCCGCTCGCTCTACGTTTCACTCAGCCACGTATCCACAGCCGAACGGCATAGCAGACGGCTCCTTCCACGTCCAAGTGAGATCGTACCGTTCTACCGCTGCATACGGTGTGGCCAACCATGCAGGCGAACCCCCACCCCCTACGTGCCCTTACCTTCGGGTATGAGGACGAAGCCGATATCGCTCCTCACCGACGTACCCAAACCGGGCCACAATCCCCCGTGACCCTCACACAAGACTCTTCGGAAGTCCGCGGCGGGAAGAGTTCCTAGTTGAAGGCGTTCCAAGGGAAGGACGAAGAGGGGAAGGGGGTGTGGTGCTGAGGATGACATGATGGCAGGCGCAGTCTTCAGAACAAAGGTCACTCTCATCCGTACGAACGAGCATTTCGGGTTTCCACCAGTCAGGCGACCGTTGTACCCTTGTCCTAAAAGCAGTATGCTTTGGTCGGTGCGTCACGTTTTCTCACACCATTTGCCGAGATAGCGACGGAGGGCGTGAGTGGGATTGACACTTGTGCAGGCAGGCGTCGCGCGGTGGGCAATCTACGGAAGGATGCGTAATTTCATCCATGGCATCGGTAGCGTGCGCATTCTACGAGTCATACCCCATAGACCCCAAACCATGTTTGAGGTGAACATGAACGCCAGGTTTGCCGCGCCGGCCAAGGAGGTCGTGTGGATCATGCCAAACGCGAGACGAGGAATGATGGTGAATTCATCTCCGCTTCCCTGCTTTTATTGCATGGTGTCCGTCAACCGTTCAGAGAAATGCGCGGGCATGCTCAAACGGCGTTCAAGCGCACCGATGCACCGATACAAACGTCTGATGTTCACCTGTGCGCTGTGTGTCTTCGCGAATGAAGTTGTCGAGCAACGGCTTTAGTCGCTGTAGAACTTTTCCACCTTCTCCAAGCTCGTTTTCTCGATTTCGGAACCTGAAAACCAAACAGAAAAAGACCGCTTGGATCCAACATCTCGGGTCGAGGCACGCATGAAACATGTTTGATGCGGACAAACTCTCTGCAGCTGTCAAACGTCGAGAGAGGTTCGGTGCGGTAGGAATCGCAATATACATATGCAAACATTCTGTTGTACGCAGCCCTGAAACTAAATTTTAGGGTACATTCGACTCTTGTTCGTGGCCAGTCCGTCCCCCTTGGCCGTCAGTTCTCTCCAGTTGTGATCCACTCGCCGTGGCAAGGTCAGGGAGGTTTAAGTTCGTCGGTTCCTTCTACAGTCAGTCGTGAACCGTCATTGAAACGACGGTGCGACGAGTGACAGGTAATTTACTGCCACGAATTCGCTGAACTTGTGAAAATACACTGCGGACATGTGTTCGAGATATCTTGGAGATTGTGTTAGGCGTAGTACGGGGAGAGAGGTTGCAGAAGACTTAACACTTTGTCCGAAAGATAGTGGGAACTCGTGCTGCCTGGGGTATAGTAATCGTTCATCGACCCAAATCGCGCACCTTGTCCCCCTCGCCCCACCGCTAACTTGTTCTTCCGTATCGGGTAGGTTGTTGTTACCAGCGGGGCCGTTCTTGCTGCTGTTGTTGTTGTTGCTGCTGCTGTTGTCTTCGTTGTCGTCATCGTTGTTTTGGTAGGGAACAACAGGTTCACCCCCTGCGGGGGCATCGCCGGCCTGGTGCCCGCTGTCAACCCCTTTGATGTCTCTGCCGCTGTTGTCGCCCGAACAAGCAATGTTCGTTCGAAAATACTCTCTAGAAGCTGGAGCGGCGAGAGACGAGGGTGGGGTCTTCGAGACTGTGTCGAGAAGGGACTCTAGGCTTCGCTCCGTGGCGGTTTTTCTTCCAACCTGAGCGGCGTGGTTTTCGTGTTCTGTCGCCGCTGCTGAGGCCCCAGAGTTGATGTCCCGGGCTTTGGCGAGCAGAAACGGGTGTCCTGCCACGGCTCTCCGCCCGAACAGCCCGTCGTTGGTTGCACTAGCGAATTTCTGGGTGGGGGTATCGTGGTTTTTGTGGCGTCAAGATGGCACGGAAGTACAACGAAATCCTCATCCCTATTACAGATCGTCGCCGGTGCCCTCCCCTGCAACAGTGAGACCAAAAATGTGGTCCAAAAGTGCTGCAATACCATGGTTCTTGCCCCCCGGCACGTTTGAGTTGTACTCTACGTTTCACGGACGCGGTAGGAGAAATGCCATTTATGTCGGACTCATTAGTTCCGAACAGAAACGAGGTGAATCCCTCATAAAAGTGACGTCCTCGCAGTCGTGCAGGTATTGGTCGTTTGGGTGTTGGGGGTGTCGAAACAGGGACCATTCACGGACGAAGGCTATCCAAGGGCCTCCCACGTCGTCTTGGCTTCATCGTTGCTAAAGTTCTCTTCTCACGGCAACCCGAGGCGCGCCTTCGAAGCGCGGGCGTGTTGACTCAAGGTAGAAACACCAAATTCAACATTGATCGGAGCCGGGCTGTAGCTACGACGTAGAGAAGGTTGGAGCGAGGTTGCGCTAGGGTGGGCGTCACAGGTTCGCTTGGACGGTAATACGAGCGGGAAGAAAGGGAAACTGCAAGAACGATTTTCTCGCCCATCGTATCCGTATCATTCTAGACTTAGGCACTCTACAACGGGCTGGGGGGGAAATCCAACGAGTGAAGGGCAACAAACCAACAACAAGGGCTGCACCGCTCCCAATGCTGCAACCCGACCTCGTAATATCGTGATTTGTTTCGACCACGCAGTGAACACGTGGTGTACGATCGAAATGCTCACCCGCGCACGGAGCACGACCAGCAGCAAAGTTTCAAGAAAAGCTTCGCCGTCCACGAACTCCGACCACGGCTGCTGCCCTCGCCGACCAGCCCAACGGCGAACACCGGGCCCGCTAGGTGGCACCGTGGGGAGTTCCAATACAGCCTGCTCGCGTGCAACACGCAACGTAGGAGGGTGTGCGGCTGGGTATACCAAGTGTCTGCTGATCGGAAGACACCCCCACCGCACCCCGATGTGCTGACACCACCGCTGCGAATTTGCATTGTTGTATTTGGCACAATGCCATACACCCACTAGAATCGCCATGAAGTCCAGCATCCTTGCTAGTTCCCCGCGTCGAATTCGCCGGATGTTGAACTTGCCCAAAGGCTGTTATGCGTAGTTGGTCTACTGAAGCGTGTTCTGGGCTCAGGTCTCCTGCCGAGTAGCTACAATTCCATTTTTGTTCTGATTTTCAAACCCTTCAGCCCAGTGTATGAGCGAGAAAAGAACATCGATGAATATTCTACACTCCTTAATCCTTGTTTATCCTACACGAGCACTAGCCAGAACTGACACCGCGCTGTTCTCGAAGGCTGTACCTGTTCGGCCGCTCCCATGATCTGGTGCCCGGCTCCCCAACCGGGCGTTAGCAGAGCCGACGCGCACATGGCAGCGTGCGTGCGAGCGACAATGGTCGTTCTCCAGCCGATTCCGAAACCGCTATCCCTCATTGTTTTCCCGTTCTCACCGACCCCGGCCCACGGGCCGTCCGCAGTCATGAACCCCCTCGTGATGAGCCAATTTCTAGCCGCTGTGACCAAGTTCACGAGCTGGGGTTCCAGTCCAAGATTAGCGTCTTCCGATGGGGTCTGCGATGGCCAGCGACCTCCTAAAGCGGAGCCAGTGCCAAATGAACACATTTCACGTGGGGGTCAGATTGTTGCGACAGGTGAGATAGAGAGCGGGGCGAAAGGTTCCCTCGACGGCTTCAACACGTTTTGAGGGGTTCTTGGCGACACCTTGAACCTCACGACGGTCGATGATTCTCTTGGAAAGGCCTCCACGTTCACCAATACAGCAAACGAATATCACGGATACGCGGATAAGCGTGCGGACATTTTCTGGCTCCTTCCGATGTGGGTATAAGGCTTACGTTTCCCGCTTGCGCCCGCCGGCGCTCCTACCATCCTGGCGAAGAGGCGAAGCACCGGCGACGCCTGACCGTGCTCGAGGACTGCCCCCAGCAGCCCCGCCACCCTCTCCTCCGCGGCGCGCTGCAACCCGTAGCGCCTCCGAAAGTCTCTGTACAGGGCAACGCCGAGGGTTTCAACCCTCGACGCAGGACAGCATGATCCGTCTTCCTCTTGGTCGAAGCAGGCGGTTGCACCGCACTTTTCTCCGCGAATGCTGTCGCTGTAGATGCCGTCACCGACGACGATCGTGTGGGAATCCGGAGCGCACCTAGATGTTTCGTGCGTTCAAGTGTTGAATTTGCACAGGAAATAAGACAATCATGCCGTGGCCCATAGTTGGCGCAGATGTTCGCGTCTATACTGCGTGCTACAAAACGCGCTCCGATTCAAACGGGACACGAAACTTCGTGTAGTCGTAGCACGGACCGATGTGAGCGTGCTCCTAGGAACGAAGGTAGAGTGGCTAGTCCCTGCTGGAAAAAAAAACAAAAAATGTCCCGGGTAGGCGCTTCGGGGAAATGGCGTCAACGTCTAGTCAAACGGTTCAGGTCGCTGGACCAAGTAAATCAAGCGTTTTGGTTTCCTCATCGGCCCATGCCATGAGCCCGCCACCCAGGGCGGCGGTATCCCCGACCATCTCCTCGTTTGTGCGTCTATGAGTACGATGCGAAGCCTACAAATTGCACTTTCACGCATGATACTTAGGTTCGGTCTGCACTGGCCCTGCCAAAACACAGCCCGCAAAGAAACACACACCCAACGGGGCTCGAAATGAGGCTAATTTGATGGCCTGGTGTCGCCTGCCCCGCTCACCTGCCCAGGCGTCTGCAAGCCATGAGAGAGGCCTCCCTTGCCGCTGCCCTACCGTCCAAGACCTCGCGCACCAGGCGGACACATTCTCCCTCCCCCATCACCTCAGCGGTGCCGTCCGTTCCCGCCGCAGGGAGTTGGTCTGCGCGTCGTTCCGCGTGGTGGGAGGCGGACCAGGAAGCGAACATGCACGAGCCCTGCCTGTTATTGCAAGTTTGACAGAGCAAGCGGGTTGAGAGTGGGCTGGAAAGTCATGTTGCCGCAGGCCTCGCGCATTTGGCGCTCATGGATCGAGCACGACGGTCTGTGAGATGGTTACCGGGTGTGTGCACAGGGCGGGTGGGAGTGCGACAGCCAATGATGATCGGTCGGGCACAGTTTCGGCATGCTTGCAGGCCGTACGGAAATATGGGCGTAGATCTGGAATGCGAAGCATGACATGTACAACGCTACAGCGAGTTATCCTTTTCGTGCAAGGACACTAACGTGTGGTCTTATGTGCGTTCCTGGCCGTCGCATTTCATACTGTGCGTTTTTCATGCTTGTTCCTGCCCATGCCGTATGCATAGGCGTCTGGTGCCCGTTATTCCTGCGAAATCAAACAGAAGTCCTCACCATCCTTGGAAAGATCAGCGAGTCGCACATCATGTTGCTTTATTTAGAGAAGGGCCATTGCGGCGGGACTTAGGCTTGCACCTGTGCACAAGCTTCTGGGTGACAAAACCAATGCAAGGCAGAGATGACGTACGCGCGTCATGCCCGGTGAGGGCGGGAACGATGATAGAACTAGAATTCATAGTCGGGTTCCGAGGACAGACGCATGTGTCGTGTACCAATCACGCTCCAATGTACCTGCTCCAGACGCCCCTGAGGCCGGCGGGCACGCAGCCGAGGTTCGCGGCCGTTGCCCGGGAAGGCCGGGCTACGGAATCAAGGTCGTCCTCGGAATAGATGTAGTCCACGACCTGCCGTAGGGTGAGCATGAGCGTCGGGCATGATCTGGCCATCACTTATCCTCTGAACCGCAGACTGCTAGACAACGAGCGGCGAGAGGAACCACTCATGCGATATTGAACACTCCGACGTGATGAGGTGCGTGTGGGTTAAAAGCATTCATTGTCAACCGAATGAAACCTCGAGGCTTGCACATATAATAGAACAGAAGCATTCATCTGCCCGAGCAAAGGTAGTATTGATCCCGTCGATGACAGCAGCACACATGCCTTGGAATCGACGGACGAAAAATCCGGCCAGCCGAAACCTAAGCTCTTCGAAACGTTCTTCGGGGGCAGTGATGGCGACGATGCTTGCCGTCCATCCAGAGCACACCCGACGCATTCTTCATCAATGCTGATACGACCCTCGCCTCCAAAGACCTTCCTGTCGCTGTTGCCCAGGCCGTTGCTGCTGCTAGTATCGTTGGCATCTTCGTTGTTGTTGTCAGTAACCGTTGAGTTGCCCTTACCGTCCGGTTGACCGGCCCGAGGACCCCAACCACCGGCTCCGCCATCAAAGCCCTGTCGATGCTGCTGCTCTTGCTGGTCCTGCACGAGGTGGGAGCCCTGGCGGGACCGAGCCGCAAAGGCGTCGATGTCGTCTACCGCCACGCGCACGACGACCCGCTCTCCCATGCTATTGTACTGCAATCTCGTCTTGAAATTAGCCATGTTCCGGTATCGGACCGGGCGAGATCCAGAGCCGCACTGCTTCGCCGATAGCAGAGGATGGTGATCTCTTCTCCGGGCGTTGTTGCCTTGCCGAGAAGCAATCGTCGAAGAGGCGACGACGCTTGTGCAGCCTATCCCCTGTCCAGCAGCCCTCCTGGCGGTAACCTATTTATGGGGGATCAGTTTTCGGTTGCCCCAATATTGATTTTGGGACGGGTCGGCACATCAACTCCTGTCATGATACCTTCGGTGTCTGGTCGTCTCCTACGTGGTTATGATGCAGGCGTAAGTCTTGGCAGGTACTGCTCAGACTTGATAGGATAGGAGCAGGTCTACGAGGACACCGACCGCAAGGCAGCTCCCCGGAGGAACACCGAACGATCAACCTTGTCGTGACCTCTTATAAGGCCGACCTTGCAGCGAGAGTTCATTCTACCGTGGATTGCCCCTACGCTTAAAAGCGGTCGAGCGAAGCCCCGGCCTGAGCTTACCACGAGCTACTTCGTTAGGACTCACCCCTCCAGTGGCCTCTAGCACGGCGGCCGCGATCTCGCAGACGCGTTGAAACGACACTGTTTCGCGGCTGGTCAGGTTTCCCATAGCCGCGGAGAAGTCCGCTCGGCTACACGCCTCCACAACCCCAGGTGACCATGCCTTCAGTGTAGCCTTCACCTTTGGAGAGTGAGTTTAAACACGCTTCTTTCATGAGGGGAGGAAGATTACCCGGATTTCACGCGAAAGTGCGCGCATCACATACCGTAGTACCCCCCCTGTTTGTTGAAACCGTTGGGTCTATTGCGATAACCAGCGAGCAATGCAAGGAGGACCATACCTAGATGGGCCTGTCGTTGGTATCCCGGGCACATGCCCGAAAACAGACTCGGATATCCACCACACGACAGAACCGTCAAGACCTGGGAATAAGACCCCTGAAGGTCCGGGTCTTGACATTGAGAGGCTGCTATTTTTCGGGCGAATACTTTTTCTTCCTGTCGTTCCTCACCTCGCGTGCTAAAACGGGGGATTTCTTATGCCGCCCTCTAGCTGCATATGCTTCTCGCAGCGCCGCGTCCTCCATCAGTTCCCTCGCGGTTGTGGCTTCATGGGGAGAAGCACCTTCATCGCCTCCGTTCTCCCCCGGGCCGCTACTATCACCTTCCACGGTAATGCCTAGCCGCTGCTGCCATCGCCCGGCATTGCCCGCGAACCCATCTTTGGTTGAACCCGTTGAAAACACACCCAGAGAGTTCACCGCCTGCTGAGTTACGACGAAGCCATCGCCATTGCCGTTTTCACAGCCGTAGCGGTCGCCTCCATTCTTGAGCTTCTTGTTTTTCAGCATGCCTACGCACGGCCTTTGGCGCTGTGGTCCCGGTTGTCGCCTGATGCCGCCATCTCTGGCTTTTATTGCAGCGGCGAGTGCAAAAGACAGGTGTAGTATGAAGGAGGCAGATCGAAAGCTCTGCCCCGGTTGCAAGTGCCTTGATAGAAGTTGAGATGCCTCGGTCGGAAACGGTGCCCAATGACGGCCGTCTACACATATCTACTGTAATACTGGTGAGCCATCTCGTGGCCACCCTCGCAAGGTAGAGTTGTAAGAGGGAGAAGTATCGACGCGCTCGGTGCCACTCTCCACGTAGACAGTTCACTAGTGACTTTTTTGAGGAAGACATGGTTCTTGAGTCACCAAAGTAGAAACAAGTTCTTGTAAGCATCTTATGGTCTTGGAACAAATCGACAGTAGTTAGAAATCGCGTTGATTGGGTAAACACGACCAGTGCACAGAGTTCTTCCTCGTTGGCATATCACCACGTGTTACACCGGGAATTTCATGTAGACGGAACCCTTACCCGGCCGAAGTCGTTTCGTCCCTCTGTCCCCATGATAATCGGCACAACAAGCGCCATCGCGGCCGCCAGTCGCTGATAACGCCGCCCCAGCTTTTGACTGTCGATATCGGAAGGGAAGTCGATCGAAATAGCCATATGGTGAGTCAAGGAAGTGGTGAATTCGACGACTGGGCATCTATCACATACCCTCTCGCTACAATTGCAGCTACTGATTCCTGATTGCCAATCCCGTGTTGCGCGTCGGTTCGTCCTTGTCGTTGTTGGTACGCATGACCGAGTATTCCCCCAAACCTTACAAACCCAAAACTTTGAGTCCTGAACAATGTTCACGTGTTAGAAAACCCTGTTGCACCTGTTCATTTCCTGTACCACTGTTGTCGAGGGTGGTGGAGGAATCGGCCACAGAAAAGGCTGTGGACACGGGGGCTGCACTCCCATTAATGGCGGGGTGAATATGTGTTCCCGACACCGTGGCACCGGAGGCGTAGCCCTCGCTGCTTGGATAGTCCCAATGTCCCATCATATCGACTTCATCCGCTGCCGCCGGGGCGCCGAGGTGCTTCTGTTGCTGCTTTTCCAGGTGTTGCCGGTACCCTCTTCCGCCGCCTTCGTAGTCCGCAGAGCGCGATCGAGAAACGTCGTGCGGGCCCGACGAGGATATCGATGGATGCGCACCTTCTAGGAACGGACGGTTTCCGCCCGCCGTTCTTGCGGCTGTTCTGGGCCAGGCGGTAGTGTCGGCGGTGGGTGGGGTAATCCATTTCGCGACCTTGTCGAGGATGCTCCTCCCGCTGGGTACGGTTGACGCTGGCCGCATCGACTGCTCTTCCGCCGTAGCAAAAGTAGAAATTCTACCGGGCGTAGATGGTTGGCCTCTACCTCCTGCTGCCTCTGTGCCTTGCGTGGTAGTGTCGTCGGAGAGCGCACAAGGATCACCAACTGAATCGTGACGCACCGAGAACCGCGCATGCGACGGCCGCTTTAGCCCCTTCCCTCCGATCTTGTACTCGACGCCCAGCTGCGTCAACTCTCCGCCAGCCGCCGCGAGCACAACAACAGCCTTATGGGTTTCAGCCACATCAGCGAAACAACGTTGAGGTGGTCATTGAAGGCGATTGTTGTGATCAAATGGCACAACTCCGCTGCTGAAGCACTACTGCAGAGGCTTCAGGATATATGTAGTTCAGGAGGGCAAACGACGTGCAACTACCTCGCGTGCGGGTGCCACTGACCCATCCTCGCCAACAGCAGTATCGGATTTTTCACGAGCTGCACAAGTCTGCCGAAGTATCGGTGCAAAACTAAATCCATAGCGACGTCAAGCACCATACGCCTCGTTGCCTTCCCCGAAACAATATTCGCTACTTGACCACCAATACGAGGAATATGCTTACTCTCAAACGCCCGGGCCGTTGGGTCACACATGAACTAAGGCGCACGTGCGATGTAGCTGAAGTATTGGTCGCCCTCGGTGGCCACCCCTGAAGTGCACGCCATACTTTTTATCTGCAGCCCTGTAACCCAGCACTATTGTGCAGACCCCGAAGAACCACAGTTCGACGCATACCTTAAGCTGCGTTCCCGCGACGTCTTTACTTGCGCGTTCCACGGGAATACCCACGAACAGTGCTCCAGGAAGGCCCCTGAGAGAGCAAGGCACGTTGAGTCTCCTCAAGAGGTGCAATCCTCGACCATGCCGGGCCCTAAACACGCACAATGTGCGATCCAAAGCCGCCGAAAGCACCAAGCACTCCGTCGAGGAATTTTCGATCAGTTTGGCCGCGCCGCGTCGTCCTCCTTTCCCAACTGCTGGACAGTGCGGAGGTGGTCGTGGTGGTGCCTCGTTGCTTTCAAGTCCGGCGTGGTTTTCCTTCTCCTTTTGCTGGTTGACGACGAGCGCTGCTCTTGGTCCCTTCGCATGTATCTCCGACACGCTGGTGGTAGTGCTGCTGGAGATGTTGAGACCGGTGGTTTTTCTCGCTTTAGGGTCGTCCGGGTCTGAAGGATACAGTTCCCACACATCCATTTCAGTGACCGCCGCGTCATGTGTCTGTCAAAACGGTTTGGCGCAGTAACGGGGGTGGCGCAAGCCAGATACGGGGGTTGGACAGAAACCGCGGGGCGCCGAATAAAAAGAAAAATGGGGAGAGATGAGACAAACGCGGTGAAGCCTCGTGATTATAAGGGTGAGTCCGTTTGCCACAGGGTCCACGATAAAGTGCAGCTAACGGCAACAATATAGGATCGGGGATTTGTCAGTACGAGGTCCTCTGCTGTCAATCCATCCCATGCGGCACCTTCTGCGACCAAAGTGGTTCCCCCCCGACGCCCTCCTCCCCATCCAGACTCAGCTCCCACGCCTGCACAAACCCGTTGTCCGAGCCGGCGACGCAGTACAATCGCCACCCTGTAGCTTCCGCTTGCCCCGCCCCCGGCCTTGCTCCGGGCCTGCACCGCCTCTTCTCCCCCATTGTGCCCTGTTCTTGAGATTTTTTTCGTTCTTGATCCTCGCAATGAACTTGGCAGAATCCCCCATTTCCACCGCAGCCATTAATGCCGCCGCCATTGCCGATGCAAGCATCACCCGATGGGAGTAAGAGCGCGCACGAAAACGAGCATATCGAAGAGTTCGTCAGCAAAGTCGCGCAGAACTCGAGCCCCCCTTCAGTGTCCCTTCCGCGCCCCGCTGCAGCTCCACCAGGCCAGCGCGAGGGGACGTTCCACACCCGTATTTCGCCCCCGCTTCCGACGGACACGACCCGTTCGCGCGGTCGCGAGGTGCGGCGGGCAGCGTGCGTATTTCCGTCGCAGGACAACCCGGCGGCTGGAGTTGAGAGGGTCGCTTCTTCGACTCGTTTGATGGCGATGACCACACCTCTGTGCGCGTTTCGGTCTTCCCATAGGAGAGGGCTGATGAGCGAACGTGGTGAGGCAAGATAAAGGGTGTGTCAGGCGTACACATGGCATCAGGTGAGGGCCTACCACTTGCAGCGTTGCCAAATGTTCGAGCCGTAGCCGCTGAGGAGCTAAGGAGCAGCACACTTGCCTTCCATCCGGGGGTAACGCGGAAGAGGTCGTCCACAGAGCCAGCCTCCCGTCCGAGTCACCGGCAACAACAAGCGGGGCTAAAAGCGGGCACAGTGCTGTTATCGCGGCCTCGATAGCCGCACCTCCACCGCCGTCCCCCCTTCCCCCTCCCCCGCCGGCCCTTCGCAACCGTCGCACCGTTCTCTCGCCCCTCGCTCCCTCGTGGTGTCGTGATCCGGTGCCGAAGGTAGGGAGCGGGTGGTTCGTGGAAGAACTTGGGGCTGGCAAGGGTGCGCAGGCAATGGACCCGTCGCTATAACCCACAATTATTCTGGCAGGCTCTGAGGCTCCGGCGTACAAGGAATATTTGCAGGATACGACTGAGTCGTTCGCCGAAGTGTTCCGGCTAACCACCGGGATGGGGCAGACGGCGAAACACGTGGTATCACTGCCCGCTGCCGTAGCTTCCGCGGAGTGACGGCTACCAGGTGCTGTAAGTGTAAGCCTAGAGACCAGCTAGCAGGAGATGAAGGTATGCGATCGGTAGGAGAACATGTGAGGGTACGCGATCCCGTTTAGCCGGCCGAGCTAGTTGCGAAAACCCATGGCACGGGGCGAACAGCAGTGCCATGCATCCGACATCGATGCCATGAAGGCTGTGAGAGGAAAAGAAGAATCTATGACTGGTGCAAGGGAACACTCTCGCGCGTGTCGATGACGTCATCCGCCTAGAAATGTTGCTTGTTCCCCATCTACCCTCCGTCCAGCACCCTCTTCCCCGCAGTTGCAGGGGTCTAAGGTACAATACGAAACACCAAATTGCTCCCCTGCTCCCTCTTCATTCCGAAGAACATGGAGACAGAGAGCGAAGCCTGCACGGAACGCCTGTCATTCCGCGAACTGAGATCAATTCCGACAGTTGTTGGCACTAGGGTCAGCACCCAGCTGCCGTTACGGTACAACACACTCGAAATACTAGTCGACAGATTGGTGACTCTGTTCAGGTGATAGATGCACAGGGAAAGGTCACCGATCTCACTCACCTCAAACCTTCCATGATAGCCATGATACCATCCGAACCATCCGTCGTCGCACATGACCATTAAATCATCCGCCGCGCAATCAACGTCCTCCTCCCTCGCCGACCGCCACACCGAAGGTACCCTCGCGATTCGTGCAACCTCTCTCTTTTTTCCGCCGCTACCGCCTGAAGTCAAGGCTGCGGTTGTCTCCCGCCCTACCCACCCGACGTGCTGCAGAGGCTCGACCACCTCCAGAACTGAGATTAGCCCTCCAGATACGGCAACGCAAAAATCCTTTCCGCTGCCACCACCACCGCTTTTCCCTCTCGCGGATGCAATAACTTCCGCCCAGCTGCTCCCTTTCGCGGGAGCTTGGAAATTTTCGCCGCCTTTCCCTGTGGAAGGAGACATTCCCCTCCCGGTGGTGTCGGCAGCCGCACCTCTTGAGTACACCCCGCTGCCGAGAACCCCCGCTTCTTCGCCGGCAGACAAACGTATGGCCATGATGTGGGAAACCCCCGGCCTTCTGTTGGCCGCGAATCGGCCGTTTCCTACGCGGTCTCCGCTTGTGGCGCTGCCGGAGGGATAATGCGCACTTCGGGTCTTTCGTGATGCCTTTTTCGATCGCGTGAGAAGTGGAAGATCCGAGCGAAAGAGCGGGTGGATCATCGACGACGAGGAGAGAGACAGACGTCAGCGACGTTGTCAGGGACACGAAAGCGGGGATGTGTGTGATGAGAGTTGTTGAGACGGCATCCAGAACATATCGGATGTCTCACGGAGGCCGACACAACCTCCACACAAGGAAAAGAGCATCGTCCGCCACGAAGCAGAAACGAGCCCCTCTTCAGATTCGATGCGATAGAAAAATATTAGACATTCTAAGGCCATCGCGGGTATCTAACCCCAATCCATCAAACCAACCCAACGCCAATCTCCCTTGCTGGAATATTTCCCATCGGGGAAATGGCCGAAAGCTAAATCTCGCCCGGAGCGTTGTTATTGTCTACACAGCGAGCAGGAACAAGTTTCCGGCTCGAAAAATAAAGCGCGCTTGCGTCTAATGGCAAAGGCAAGCATCGAATGATTACACCTCTTCCCCCTATGGTCTGGTTCCGCACCTCGTAGTCTCCAATCATGCGCAGTTCCACACCAGCCTCGGCCACCCCGCTCGCAGCCTCCCGCGCGCTGGCTAAGCCGACAACGGACAGGTGAACGACGGTTCCGTCGCCGCCGCCAGACATGATGGACCAGTCTTCTGAACTGCCGCCGCCCCCGTTGTTGATGACATCAGAGGATTCGTCGACCCCCGTACAAAGGTTGAGTTCGCCTACGTCAGGGGCTACCGGCGAAGACGGAGGCGTGACCCCTTGGTGGGAAGCCCCCCGCGACCGAAGGAGGCGGAGGGTTAAGATCGGGAATGCGTCGTGTGCGTCGAACACGGCGAGGACTATCCGCTTGAGGCTGCACGAGGATGAGGCGATAATTCTGGGGAAAAACACGACAGAGGAAGAACAGGGTTCAAGTTGTCTCTGGTGTATTTTGATCCGAATGCTAGCATCAATTTTTCAGCAAGGCGGACAAATGATTTTATGACGGCGATGCGTGCATCTTGCTTGGGCAGCACGGCAGGGAAATCATGCGTCGTGGACCTTTACAGGGCACATCCTCTACGCTGTATCCCCAAACTCGAGGTAATGTGGAATGTTGGTAGTATCTGGGGATACAGGTGTGTCTTGTCAGATGGGCGGATCTTGGCAAGCGCCTAAGAGCCGTTCACGCCAATTCAATCAACATCTTCACCTCTCGGCGCACATCGGTTCGCCTTTCTCTTCTACGAATGAAGGAAACACCGAAGTAACTTCGATACATAGAGTCCACCGATAGTGGGTCTCGGTGCTCGTCGTTCTCGTTGTGTCCTTGATGTTGTGGGACTTTCCTATCTATGTTGTGAGTTGACATTCAACTATTGCAAGAGCATCTGCGCCATGTAGCACTACAAAGAGTCACCTCCAGAGAAAAATTCGCCCGTTGGCGAGCCCAGTGGCGAGTAGCGGCTCCCGCACGCCAATCGCGGTAACCTCAGAAGAATGGAGGTCTGGCATGCTTCCCAGGTATTGATAACGACGCCCTTCGAAAACGTCATTGGCGTCACCACCGCGAGTAGTGTCCGGCAGTGTCGGAACCTCAACCTCCCCCACAGAGCCCCTCATGGGCACATCCACTGAAGTTTGTTGGTGAAGTGGTAGGCGCCACAAGAACGCCTCGGTTCTGTGTCGAGGACGAGGTTTATCCAAATGGAAAGGTGGTTATGCGTCTGTATGCCGTATTTTTCTGTTGGTGGTGGTTTGGAACAGCGAAACCGGCTGAACAGCTACCGCATATCATGCACAGAGTCGCGTACGGTAACGTCTTCAGTACACCATTGGTTGCCCGAGCAACCAAGCAGTCAGGAGCCATGTGTCTTCACAACGTGCTCCCCCACGCCGCGAAACAACTCTTTGCGCAAGGGGGTTGATACACGCGTTGCTTGGGTCAATTATTCGCGGAAGAAAAGTGTCTATGTAATCGATTGAACTAAAAGGAAGGAAGATCTACAAAACTTGGGGAAAATTGTTATTTTGGAAGCCCACCGCAGCAACAACAATCGTGCACCCCTTGGGCCACAAAACAGTCCTATAGCTGCGCGCGGAGGGGAGTGCATACTTTCGTCCTCTCCGCGAGCACGTGCATACCCGTTCAAGCCAACAACGAGGCCGGAGTCGGCGTCGATCTCGAGTATTTCCATAGCCACCCCGTTGATTGGTCCGTCCAGGCGTTGAACTTCCCTCGCGGTCACCTGGTAGTCCAAGCATATGTGGGTACGGAGGTCGATATATCAGCGACGTTATCGGCATCTGGCATGAGGAAAAATATAGGTCAGAACCCAAGGCAACTGGCATGACACAGGCAACGACGACCTTGCGAGGGTACCTCGAAAGCCCAAAGGAAAACATCGCTTGGAGACCCGAAAAAATACAGAACGGCATCCCAAATGATGTGTAAGACTAGTGGTTCTTGGGGCATGCGTCTGTCCCCTAGCCCCACTAGCGAATGCCTGCTCTTGTGTTTCTGCACACCAACTCCCAAAGCGATCATTTTCGCTTGCTCCAGCACCGCCATAGTCGTTATTTAGACCCCTATCTATCTCCTTCTACTGGAGAGATAGACCCCATCTACTCTTTGAGTGCCACCTGGAGTGGTTTTGTTGCCGTGGTGCCGTGTGGCACCGGAGCTGGAGGAAGCCGCCTGGACGAAATACGGAAAACCCGCAATATTCCATCCCTTCCGGATAAAATTAGCGCCCCCGTTGGGGGATAGAAAACGGCGGATGAAACCTGTAAGTTGCGGGTGTGGAGTCATGAGGTCACAAGTGCATGCAATAGACAATAGCCTTGCTCGGGAACTGAACTATTCAGTGGCGAAAGCATATTCAGAACGCCTTCGGGTAGTCCGTGCGACACCACAGCAATGTGATCTGTACATGATTGAAGGACTTCCGCAGAGTGTAGTGGATCACACCGGTTTTCTCAGGCGGAAGTGCGAAACAATTCTACCATCGCCTATTCTCCAAGTAGTTGTTGGATCTTGGACAGAGGTACGCCAAACACACGCATAGGTTTGTTATGTGCTTCCTGGGTCTACAAATGCCGTGGCATCCAAAGGGCTCATATTCCCATAGAGAAGGGATACAATGCTTTTAGTCATGTCGGATCTGTCTCTCGTCCCTCTTTACGTATGTAACAGAATTTTCCCTTGTTGCTTTCAAAGTCCAGAAGTCTCTGCCGAATGTGGTGTCGCTGCCACTCACCTCGCAGTCGCAGGGGCTGAACCGACAGCGGAGGCGCAGTTTCGCATCGTACACGAAACAGCCGCAGCCACAATCGTCACCTCGCGAGGCGCCTGATCCAGCGAAATTTCGACCTCCATAGACGACAATGTAAAGGTCGTCTTTCTCGCAGCAGAACGCCGCAATAGCTGGAGAGCTGTCGGAGCAACAACGTCACCGCTTTGTCAGCAGATGGACTTTTAAATTCTTTGAGAAGTATTTTCGCATGGAATACCAGGAGATGTACATTCGTCCCTCCCTCACAGGTGTGATATTTTTGCGAAGGTGACTCGTTGTGTCCTTGCGATGCTTGAAGACGTCGGTGTTGTTAGGGGGACATGTCTTCCCATCGTAGTCCATACTGGGTCACAAAACGTGTAAACAAGAACATCCACAACCATCCACGTCGACGTGTACTTCATCATTCTGTTTCACCATGGGTTGGCGGTCATGTAGTGATAATTAGAGCCAGCCATATGTGCGCATGTGCACCTCCTGGCTACCATATTGCGGGTATCACTAGCCGACATGGCAGGCGTCTACATGACAGTACAGCAGTACAGTACAGCACGGGCGCGCAGTTGGGAAAAAATCTGTGAACAGGCTCAAATTTTGACGAAAAGAAAGAAAAAAAGGCTAAGAAATACACCCCAATCTCGGCCACAACATAGGAAACGTCCCAATAAGAAACGCGATGGTGCGTTACCCTCAAAACATTAGAAAAAAGGGGTAGTTGGAGGAGCGGGCCCAATAAGAAGCGTCCAACTGCGCTCCTTCCGTTTTGCAACCCCGCTACCTAGCTGAACAACAGTTAAGTTTTTTTGTATTAGGGAGGGAGTGTGGTATTATTTCGCCACACCAATGGCCACACCGAGCTTTCTTTCTGATTAATAGAGCGGCATGATGACAAGTCTGTTGTGTTGTACATATTCATTATAGCCAATGAGAAAATATACGTGAGAAATACGAGGATTGGGAGGATGTGTGTGTGTGTATTTTCGTCCTATATATTATGGCGACGGTCCCCCCATTTTTCGTGGTGAGACGTGTACTACATTATTCAGCGCATGTATGTAGACTAGAGTACTACTCTTTTCAGTTTTTTTTTTCGTCAACTACAACCATCCAGGGTCACACAAGAGAGGGTAAACACCAGGGCTTTTTTCTTCTTTTTATTTCTTTTCATGCCTCCTGCGGTGCGTGCTGAATTTTATTTTTATCGCGAGAAGGGCCCAGCCATCCCTTTCCCTCGTCAACGGTGCTTACGTCGAGGTTGCGACGTTCCAAAGGAATAAAAAATGCCTTTTAAGAAAACGGACTACTTCGGCTGGTCCTTGGACCCAAAATCAGGGATGGAGGCTCGACCCGAATTGACGTTTCTTGTTTTCGGGCCCGTACTGCTGTGTAGTACACGTCGACTAAAGACGAGATACATTGCTTCAGTAGCAGTGATGAACATGAACGCGGCGTTTCAGGGACTGCGTCGGCGATTACCTGACTTTGCTGGGAGCCATAATCGTCTTGACAACTCTCTTCAAACTCCACACACGCAGCGCTGATGCATCCACCGCAAGGAACTCGCGACGGGGTGTGTTGAAAGCGCATGCTTCGATTGGTGCAACGCCGTCGCGCAGCTGGTTCTTAAACTCTACTGAAGGGTACGATATCTGCAGCGGGCCCATGAGTGCGGGATGTTTGCACGGAGGCGAAAATGTGTCCTTGGGGTGCAATCTCTGTGGTGCCGCATGGAATCAACTACACGATGCCGGTTCAGTGGTCCATCATCTAACGCCCGAGAGGAGGGGGGGAAAGCGGAATGGGCAATAGCTAGTGGGCAACCAAAGATGCAGACGAAATCTTTATGTTCCGAGAACAAATACCAGGTTCGAGTGAAGCGTTACTCCGGTAAGAACCATAGGGTGAACCATAAAGCCTCCACATCGTGCCACCACACCTCCCTCATCGCTTTCATCGCTCTGCATCTCTTCGCGTCGCCAGACTTTCTTTGGTCGCTTCGTCCACCCGGATGCATATACACGCACGACCTCCGCGCATTGCACATGGAAGTGTGCAGGGGGTGAGGGGGGCAGAAGCAACGACACCAGGCAAGTCCCAACGATTTGAGAACTCCGTAGCGGTGCAATCGATTTCACAACAGCACCATTTCACATATTGTTGTTTCCAATCACATTTGACGCTCAGCTCGCGGTTGCCCGCTTTTGCTGTCGGTCTGGTTACGACCCTTTCAAAATGGTGGCATTTGCCACCTTTGCTGACACCCACAAGGGCAGCTAGAGTCGTCGTGTGACTATGCTGTAGTCGTCGCAAGTGTATTCCGTACATGGTGCCAAGGAGTTGCTTTGTGAACAACGCCTCCACTGCTACGTTGCCATGCAACCCCCAACTGGAGCGGGTCCCAGTAAGTCTAGACCTCTACCAAGGCAGATGACTAGATTCCACGCACTCCCGAGCTCAAGGGGTATGGAGAAAGTTAACCCCTCCCCCGGTTGGTGTTTTATTTCAGATGAAATGAACTGCTGTGTGCTTATCTAGGGCGGGTTACATTTTGTAGACACGATGAAGCAGATGTGCCCCTGCCCCTCCCGCGAGCTGCCTCCCGCAAACTTGTCAGTTGAGGTGCGCTGGTCTCAGTTTGGTGACCCGCCTTTCCAGGAGTGCCGCACATGCACGATAAAAAGTGTGGTACATTTCATAAAGCTTACCGTAGGCGATCAGGGAAACACGATTGACCCGCCCTTGTACTCTCGCCCCGTGACCGGGTGCTTCTTGTGCTTTCTACGCGATGGGCGATGTGATCTTTCTTGACCTTTCTTGTGGCAATTTCTTGTACAGTTGCCAGTAGACCCCGCTCTTCTTTCGCTAGGTTGATCTCAGTGTGACACTGTTCAGCTGTACAGAATATCTACTATGTTACAAGTCAGCGCTGACTTTTCGCATTCTGGATATGCTGTTTATCTGAACAAAAGCTCAAAGGGGCTCGAATCCCTGGTGGGACCACTTCGGATGCCTTTTTTCCGGAAAAGTCTGGGATACGCCTGAGAGACGGTATACATTCCAGTCGTCCAAGTGAAGACACATATTCCCGCCTGCAAGTCGATGAACCGCTTGGGGTAGCGCTGATTACAGAATTACAACCCTGGGGTTTACCGAGGTCCAACAGCTCTAACAGACTGAAGGACCCCGGTTGTACTTCTTGTTATGATGTACAGCATATCCACTATGCTACAAGTCAGCGCCGCTTGTTAAGATGTACTGAATGTGCAGCAGCGAACGCCAGGTGATCAGTCTGGGCCCAGTAAGCAAGCGGGTTGACTCAGCGTAGAAAACCTCCAGCAGAAGCTAACTCCAGCAGAAGGATCTCCCCGTAGAATCGCAGAAGGCGATGTGTGTGTGCACGCCACAGCACTCGACGACAGCAGCAGCAGAAGTCGCAGTCGCCGCAGGCCTCCACTCACTCACAGTCGAGGCTCATAACCTATTGTGGATATCGTCTGAGATACCCTTCACAAGTGGGCAAGGCTGTGCCTCTCGATGGTACTGGAGATGGTTGACACCGCAAGCGGTTGAAGATCAGAAGTAGGATACTTCTTGTGCTGTGTTGAGACGTGAAGATATGTTGAACACTGGCGCTTAGTTGGCCAACACACTGATAGATCAACAGAGAAAGCAGAGGTCCAGATGACGGCAGTTCCTAGAGATGACCAGCAAAGCTAAGAGCCATGACTATCCAGAGAAGTCCATGCGAGAGATCCATGCTAGAGATCCATGCTAGAGATCCATGCTAGAGTGAGAGACACGCGATCCCTCGAGCAGAGATTGCTACAGCGGTAATTCCTCCGCATACAGATGCGATACGTATGAATCGAAACATTCAGTATCTACGATGCATGATCTACGATAGAGTGCAATGCTACTGAACATTGACTAGAACAGGACATAATCCAATATTTCCATAACAGACACATGTGTTCCATCTGTACATTGTACGCGCCTTCTCGCCACCGTTGTTCGGTTTTACCTCTGAGATTGCACAGGCAACGGATATGGATATATTTCAACCCATTCCCTTCTTCTTCTAGGTGATGGAAAATGTACATCTTTCTATGTGTTTGATTCTACACTTGATGGAATACAGGGCCCCCAAACTAAGTTCCGCCCTGCTTTTATGGCGTGTGAGAGGGTGGGAGGTATGGATATCACTCGTTGGTATCCATGCATGGTGTGACCCTCCCGACCCCCGCCCTTCTCGCGCCTTTCCCTCCGTACAAAAAGGCACTCATTGCGTACCTCGGGTTGGTCGTCTGCTGGTGACGGTATGTGTAGTTGCTTTCTCCGGGATGCTTGGGGTGGCAAAAAGTATTCCGACACAGTCGGCTAGTGCTAGTGCTATCGGTGCAGCGAGTGCTTCCTCTTCTACCGCGGTCAGTTCCGGGGGCGTGAGAACAGGGGTGCTGATCCATGGGTGCCACCTGGGCGCTAAGCGATGGCGGAGCATCATGTGGGGGGATGAGCAACAGCAGCGCCTTGGCCGGTGAGAGCAGTCGGTTTGCAACACGTTCTTCGTTTGAATAAAGGCATGCATTCCACTGCAAGTACGTCCTGCTGCCATGTGTAGGGGTAGAGAATCGTGTCAATTTTTGTCAAGTGTGTCGAGAAAAGGACGACGGTCCCCAGAAAAATGAAGTAGTTCACACGTAGAGCCAATGATTGCGTTTCGTTCGAAGCTGGGTGTTGATACAGAGCAACAAAGAATGAAAATGTAGGCCGGGCTCCCATCACAAAGTCGATGTTACTCCCTTGCTCATTACGTCCTGCGCTTCGCCATTTTTGCTGTTGTCAAGGCTGCCGCACGGGGCCAGGCTAGCCTGGGAGGAGAGCGCCTGCGTCGTGGTGCTCGGGACAGGCGCAAGCGAACGGGACGGTGTCTTGGAAGGTCGGTAAGTGGTTGTGCCTCGCACGCCTGTCGCGCTTTTCTGTATCCCCCACGATTGAATGGTTTGTCTTGTGCCATCGTTGCGATACACAACACATCTGACGACGTGACGTGTACGGTGATAGAGTTGAACGTGCCCATTCTCGAGGCATTCCTCCGCAGATGTACGGTTTCCTACAACGTGGTGCCGGTGTCCTGTCGATCGCAATCGATACGTGTGCAGGCAACGCCTACCCCAACCTGTCTATCTCGGGACTCTTGGTATTCGCTCAAGTTGTCATCCAACTAGTTTCACAACCCTGTTCCCAGATACGCTCTCGAATACCTGAAGGACAACTGGGAGAAGCTTGGGGAGTTTCGACGGGCTTTCTCGGGGGTGGACTTGGAGCAAATGAGGACGGAAGTGCAGCCGTTGCTGGTGGCAGAAGGTTTGTACTGTCGTTAGCGCCCCAGAACCGACCAGAAATGGGCGTTGGAATGACGGCGAACATCCTCATCCTGACCGTGTGGTGCTTCTGAAGAACCGCTCTCGCCGTTGTCTTGCGGCGTTTTTCATCTCTGATTCGCTTTGTCATGTGTGCTACATTCGGTGACGATTATTTATCCTCACTTCGCCATCCACTGGCATGAGAACTCGTTGCTCGTACGATACTTGAGGAAGCTACGTAAGGAAGCGTTTCTTGACATTTCCTGCACCCTTTGCGACTGGCTGGTCGTACTTGCTTGCTGCCGGCAGTCCGATCCCAGAATACGCGGCAAGAGCTACTGGAGGCTGGGTGCATTTTCCGCGAGGTCAGGGTTGATGGTAGTGTGTGCAATTCAATAATGACACTGCAAGGGAATACACACGATAGTCCAGGGCAAGACCTACGGAGCCATGGCTAGGCGGGGAATAACCGATTTTTGGCTACGAAGAAGGCGGTGTTTTTTACCTCTGGGTTAGACTGCGTAGCTCGTTTTTCTATTTTGCCCACCAGTTTGCGCAAGTAGTCGGTCTCTTCGTCAGGTATCGCTTGCGAACACTGCACAGGACCCAAGATGACCACGGCTCCAGAGCAGTTAGGAGCGCGGAATTCTCACCCACCCCCATGACAGGCTACCGAAACGTCTTGTTGCCCTTATCCCCTCTTCGTTATCCTCTCATTATTGTTTTCCTAAAATATTGACGCTGTGACTGCTCTTGCGGCAGAAAAACTGCGAACGAATCATCCTCGTAAGCTCTCCGACCCATCTACCACGGTGCTTGCGGGACGCCTGTTCCCTTTGGCTGGACAACAATGACACCTACGCGCCGGCAAGCGATGCTCTTGACAATACCATTGCAAAACCCGGACCGAAAAATGGGCACGACGAGGAGGAGGAAGAATATCTTGCCCGAATGGTCAATGGTGAGGGGGAGCCTCAAAAGCTGCCTACCAGAAGAACCTCGCTTTCACGGAATCAGGCCGAAAGGTTTGATGGTGCAATATCGGCCAAAGCCGACGACTTGGCCCGTGGAAATATCAATGACCAGGGGGAGGCGCGACAACAGCAGCATCAACGACAGTGGCGACCGTTGATCCTCGCATCCCCGAGCAATACCAGCTACGCCAACTACAGTCCCGCCGACGTGGCCATCGTGGAGCCACCCCACAGAGGCGACAGTAGTCATCAGGTTGCGGAAGAGAGTCGCGGCAACGTAGCCCCCGAGACCCCAGAAAGTGGTGGACCACCGGCAGCAGCCCAAAACGGAAGAAGGGGTGATTTTGGAGATGCCAAAAGTGTTCCGAATCCCGAAGACCATGTGCCCTTGATGTTGCACGAGTTAGCGGCAATGGCGTTGAGAGTGAAGCCGGTTAGCGACAAGCGGTTTCGACTAGAGTTTGAGGCGCTTCTGCGTCGATATATGGAGAACTAGCTCGTGACCAATCAGTCTCGACACCTTCGCCTGGTCGTGATGCAACCGTGGCACGGCCGGCATCCGGATGCAGCGGAAGGCGACTACGGCCGTTGACGGGAGAGAGTTTGTCGGCTCCGTGTCGTTCTCAGTACTGCGCCAATTTATGTAACTGGAGAGCGCTTGCTTGGCGTAGTTGAATCATTGGTATCACCTTCTGCCTGCGGGTCAGGGTACTTTGGTGCCGGGGCGACAGCATACACTTTAAGATGCGGGATACTAGAGAAAGGTTTCGAATTTCGATTTCGGCTTTGCTCGTGTGCCATGACAACATGGGAGTGTTCGTGTTGTCACCACGCGTCAGTCCCCCAAATCTATGAGGTTTTCGGCCAACCGATCCGTGTGTGTGATCCAATTACCTCAAGAGCAACTATTCCAAGGTACAACCCGCACGCAGCTACACACCAATACCGTTATGGCTGCGCCGAACATGATGCGGGGTGCCATGATGTGTAATCAGCGTACTGCCACGTTCGTTGAACGGCAATCGACAGCAAACGCATAATCTACATTTCGATCTGTATGTACAAAACAGGTAGTCCTCTACTTCTCACCAAACACCCTACACCCATGGATGAGATGGCTAGACTCCCGCTTCCCCAACAGTCCGGAATATCTTTTCGAGTCCATCTATCGATTTCTGCCGCTCGCCACAACAAAAAACAAGCACCACAAAACCCGCACCCTCCCGCTCGTTCCAAAGTTCCCTCCCCCGAACCGTGCCCAGAATGCCCTTCAGCCCGCCAAACCCTATCGAAATCATTCTCCGTGTTGTTTATTCTGTGACAGGTCAAAGCTTGCTTCTCCGGGCCGGCGGGTCCTTCGTCAGGTGCTTCAGGGCCGCCTTTGGGTGTCCTGCTTGCATGCGCCTGAATACAGCAACTCACACGAAATGAGTCGGATCATCAACGGGCGAAGGGGAATGGGCAGTCCGCCCAACGAAACAATAATCAGAAGAGGCGCCCATTCCCTTCGACATTAGGGTGAACGCCGAATGCAATGCCAAAGGATGCGGGGAGGGGGGATTCGCCGTATAGGTGCGCCGGGTACAGCTCATTTGCAGGCACAAGTTATCGTGAGCAACACGCAAATCGCTAGGCACATGTGCATGTGGAACGTTCGACCCCAACCCAGCGTCCGCGCGGTTCATTTCCTCATTTCCACGGTCGTGTTCATGCGAGACAACTACGTTTTAAACAAGTTCACGGCATCACCAATACGTAAACCCACTTATCAAGCTCCCCGCACTCCTCCGCGAACACCCTGAGCATCGTCGGCCGCCGGTCGCGCCACACCATTCGCTTGAACGTCCTCACCGACTCTGTCGCGAAGCAGGTCTCGACCACTTTCTGCCTCACGTTGTGCTTCACCTGCGAGTATGGCGTTTTGTTTAGGCAAGATCATTAAGAAACGAACACGGGGGAGGGGGGGGGCGGGGGTACTCATAGTCTTTCATGCCGTGGTCGTTAGACCATTGACCTCGCATCCCTACAAGCCGGGACGGAGCACACCGGGTTCTCACCGGACTAGGCCCTCACACCACCAAGCGCGTGAAGTACCGTGAGGTATTCGGCGAGTCGCATCAAGGGTGCGCTGCATCCTGCTAAGGGTGTTCGGCATCTTGTGCGTACTTCCTTGCGAATGGACGACAGCTGCGTATGACTTAGAATATTTTCTGGTGCTTTTCACTTCAAGAGGCAGTTGTAAGCACAGTGTAGCTGCCTCCAGGGTGCTTGACCAATTGAACACAACGTGGTGCGATCATCCCCTTCGCGCGGAGTGACGGTGATCGACCCCGCACAACATACTCTACTCGACCACCGCTATGGTTTCCGCAAAAAAAAACAGAGGCAAAAAAAGCAACCTGGTTGCCGAGCTCACAAAGTGATCGGCTTGTGTTAGGAAGTCGTTTCCTAGCGGCGACTTCGCCGTGCAGGCTGCTGAGCAACGCTGTTCATGAGTCCCGCAAGGATACACCCCCCGGAAGTGTTTCACAAATCACTAGGGCGGATAGGCATAGAAATTGCAACGCGGGAAAAACATACATAAAACACTCGTAGGAGGGTCCGGGAAAATGCTTGCCAGGGCTCAACGGAGTACTGTTTCCAGGGATTTCGGCGTTTGTGTTCAATGCCAAGATTTCCGATTGAAAACCAGGGTAACGCGAGTAGCTTTGGCTTGAATCGGTCGTCGCACGCTCATATTGAAGCCAAAAGCCATACACCAGAGACGACACGTGACGACAAAATCGAGTGTTCATCCGGGGTAAAAGACCAGCAAGAGCGGGGCATAGGATACCCCCAAATTCTGACAAAAAATTCTGCAGTATGTCGCCAAAATAACTTCAAAAACAACCACCGAACAGGTGGCCTATCGTGGAGAGATGGACGAAATTTTGTACAATCTTGCGTCACGACAAACTGGCCCACTCGCCTGCATCAAGAAATCCTTCTCCGTGTCGGCCGTCACCACCGTCGAAACCAATCCCCACGACAGGGCCTCTTGCGCGCTGAGTTTACGACCCATGATGAGCATGTCGTTAGCGCGAGCCAACCCCTGTTTGTTGCGCCCACGCGTGCATACCAGAAAAACGAGGTTTGCCAGTGACGGTGGTCGGGGAGGGGATCAAAGGGTGCGGCAGTAAGGCCTGAAGGAACGACCAAACAATTGAGCACGTGAAAAACGTGCACAGGACGCCTAACAACACGTGTCCTCTTGTGCCCCTAAGGTTTCACGTGTAATGATGAACATCTTTCTGGCGAGGAAGCATCCTTTCGCGTACGGGATGCGGGGTGCGAGAGCAGCAGGGTGATTTAAAGGGAAGATAACCACGAAAATAACAGGGCATCACGGTGAACACAAACCGTGGCAGCAACGTCGACACCACGTCCAGCGATGACCGTGTGCCCCTCGGCACGGTGTACAAGAAGCAACAGTGGCGTGCATGCTAGGAGGGGTGTACTCATAGTCGTACATGCCGTAGTCGTTAGACCATTGACCTCGCATCCCTACAAAGCCGGGACGGAGCACGCCGGGTTCTCACCGGACCAGGCTCTCACATCACCAAGCGCGAAGCGCCGTGA